CAACGCCGACTTTATCTTTGTTTATCGAAAGCGTTTTATCAGAGAGTCCCCGGGGCGTTTATTTTCGTATTCCCGTGGGCCACATTTGCTCATTTGTTATTCCACATCTCACAGATTCGGTTCGAAATGGATCTCGTTGAGGGCTACTATTTTATATCCTTCATTCTGATATTTCTCATACTGATAAGGGTGAGTGCGGCTGACTTATCCCAATTCTGATTCCTGGTTAATTCGCTATTTCTCAAGGCCTATATCTGTCCCAATCACAATTGGAAGTGTGTGTGCTGCTTGCAATATAGGCGGGAAACTGGTGAGTTGATATATCTCAAGTAACTTAGTTTTCATTAGTCAAAACGTCTAAATTAGAATGTGAAAAACTGGAAGTTTCTTTGAACAAAATTACCAGTTAAGCAATCGAAAACATAAAACTTCGTAAAGTAGGTTCCAATGTATGCGGAAATCGGTTTCTTTGGATTTATTGTTCTAATTGTCGTGGCGCTCGTTGGGAGGGTAGGTTCCAAAAACCATGTGTCCCAGATTTATCTATGTCCTAATCCCCTCTCAAGGAGTGTTATCTGTTTATCAAGTTGAAGATCGAAGAGTGGAATATGCGGGTCTATGCCCGTCTACTGCGTCACGAGATGATGTTGCGCCTGGCCATGGAGGGTAAGATCCAGGTTTCTTGCCCATATCAATCAGTTTGCAAAAAAAAAAGCTACAAAAGCTTTGTCGATAAGATAAGAGGATAGTGTTGTCCAATGCGGGGGTTAACAGTGGTATAAAAATAAGGAAACTTTTCCAAGATATGAGCCAACAACTTGATTCGCACTCTACGTTGTTCTTTGCAAAATATCAGCAGTCCAAGTTAATCCATCGCAGACTCAACTCGGCTCTCTGTTCCCGAGAAATGGAAGTGATCGATATATTCTACATATCTTTGTTATTTTTCCTGGTTTTTGTTGTGAGTTTTGACCTCTAAAATCGGGAATATACTCTTGATAACTAGCGCAAGCCCTTCAAAAGACGGAAGTGTAGATACTCGTTTTAATTTGACACTCAACTTGAGATAGATTGAAAGAGTATATAATCTCTTAAAGAACTTTATAGTATAAATTAGACTTCAATTATTGAGGTGTAATCCTCAGTTAACAAGGCCTTTTAAATTCTCTTTTTTCTGTTCCGATAGCTGTGCTACAATATCAGAGAACACGTGAAATGTGGGAGTTCCCAGAGTTCTCAAATTCCCAGGTTGCCAGGTGCGTATGTCCCTGTGTCTGATTTCGATTTTAAACCATCATAGCGAGTGGGTTGTGTAAAGATAATATTTTTTAAAAATACTTTATCTTAGTTAGAATTCCTAACAATATTTCGCAGATCGTTTAACCTTAAAGAAGGTTGAACATATTTATTTTATCAGCATTTCTTATATCTTTTTACGATGCACACTTCATGAGCTAAGCAATTTTTAATCAAGAGTTATATTCCTGATTCTAAAAGTGTTTTCGCCAAGGTAATCCCTATCTATATTCCCAACAGCTGTGCTACAAGAGTCGGAAAAACATAAACTCTGGGAATTTCGATGCCGTGAGCATTTCGGTAGGGGGCGTAACCCCAGGTGCGTAAATCTATCTGTACGATCCATTATAGCGATTGTGTTAAAAGTGCCAATGTGTGTATGTCTAGTTTTAATCGCAAAATTGTCAAACGATTGATAAGGGTTGTGTTCGATTTGGTTTTTGTTTTTGGTGATTAGGCTGTTAACCAATGACTGGCGTTGCCTTTGCCATTTTAGCAAGGTTTCTTGTGCTCGGCGAACGGTTGAAAATTAGTGTTGTCTCTCCCGGACTTCCGGTATTAAGTACTCAAATTAAAAATGCCCTATTACGCTTTTATGATGATTGGCTGGTTCCTAATAATCTCAATTGTATCCATATTGATTCGAGTAAGTTCTGCTGTGATTTATCGTGAAAAGAAAAGCTCTGGCTGATCCTAACGATCCCCTGATGACCATTTTTAGGCCTGTTGTCTTTGCGCCAGGCAAAAGACTCCTAGCCAAACGACCACAAATGGTCGTGGTCCAGGTCCTGGTGGAGATCGAGCAAATCGTCAACCGGGAAGGGTGCTCCAGAGCTATAGAATCGATCCGTCAGGAGTAAGCCTGAACACAGGTGAGCACAGTCATGAGTCACAAGCGTGTCCCGATAAGGTTATCTATTTATCTATATGGTTCTATGCTTATCGGTGTCTTCGGAGGGTTGGTTGCTTCCACTCAAAATGTACGGCAGTAGCATTAATTTATTCAGATGTGCAGACGCAGGTCGGGAATATAGATATAGCCTTAACGAAAGATGGCCGACCAGTTACATTGGGTTGAGTTCAGTGTCCTGATGCTGTTCTTCCTAGCAATGGTATACATTTATCTCAGAGTGAGTTGTTTCCCAAAATATGGTAGACATCAAACGGGAGTGAAACCGGTAGATAATTCCAGAGATGTGTGGTCCACAAACGCCGAAGGAGATTACCACCTAGTCCGCCCTTGAGCAGATTCGTTTCCTCCTGCCCCTCGTCACCGGGAGAGAGCAGTCGTCTCAGTTGGACACCAGGTGAGCAGCCGCGTTAATGTGTGGCATTCGAATTCGCGCTGAACATGTTCTTCCGGCCTTGTTCTTTTGTCTGGCCACAAGTTAATCGCTATGAATTAATTAAAATCCGTGTTGTGTTCGCGCTTTTACGCTTGGCTTCCAGTTGATGGGCTTACAATTTGGGAGTTACATTATTGCGTTGTATAACTTAAGTCATAAAAGAAGGCTCTACTTTCAGTCATTCGTTTTTACAAATAGAAATTAAATTGAGTTTGTGGGAAATTACAAAAGAAATAACATTAATAAGTCATTTTAGTTACTTTTTATATTGCTTATGATTTTCCTTAAAACCAACATAAGATTAGTTTTCAAAGCTTTAACTTTTCTTTTAAAGAAAAAGATAACTTAAACTTATTTTTCTAAAAAATAAAATCAGCAAATAATGTGTTTTGATTTGAAAGTAAATAATTGCTTTATTATAAATATTTGTAAGCTTATCTAATCTAATGTACTTAAAAGTCTAGATTTGATAATCAAACTAGTCATTGCACTGAGAAAAATGGTCTTTAAAAAACTAAACAACATTCTTTAATATTTATAATGAATGCTTAGGAAAAAAAACGAACTTATATTATTAAAACTTTAATTATAGAGAACTGTTAAAATGTCAACTATCATTTTGTGATATTATGTGACATTTCTAATTAGCTTTTGAGAACTTTGCGAGAGTCACGTGCTCGTCTGACATTATCCAAAGCGCAATTATGCGCATATCTGTCAGATACACAGATACATAGATACTTTTACTTATCGCACACACCGAATAGAGCGTCAGAGTGAGTAGGAAGATGGCGGCGTATCTTATCGGACTTTGTTCGCCGAGTGCTTATCACCTGGCCCTTGACACACCTGTCCGTCGCTCCCTCGATTCCCTCGCTTTTATATTTTCCCATCGTTTACCAGTCGCGCCGATAAGTCTTGGCCAAAAGCCTGAAAGCGACGCGTTATGATATGACAGTTGGCCTAAGGCCTTTTCATGGAGCGAATATCTTCGCCGGTGCTCTCCTATCCACGTGGATATACCGCATTTTCCGACACCGAAATGTCGAATATACCGCCATACCTCATATTCTTCTTTCTGGCCTTCATATCCTGCGCCATTACCTTCTGTTTCTTGAGATTCTGCATTTGGATATGCTTTGAGGCTAGGAGTTCCAGGAGTCGCCGGGGACGAAGACATGGTAGGTTCCCCCCCCCCAAAAAAACGAAAACGAAACCTAATTCGACTTATTTTTGGCGGCTATCAGAGGGTATATATAGATATATAGACTTGGCCAATCAGACGGTTGCCTTGGCCCCGATAAGATTAGTTTGTATTTCGCTCTGGAGAGTTCTCAGTTTAAACTCGCCATTCAAGTGATTCGATTGTGTGCTTCTTTTCTGGCTGGGAATGACGCAATGGATTTCTTTATCCTCTATGTGGGGCTGTTCTTCATCTTGTTCCTGGTCATGCCCATGATCTATTTCGCCCTTCAGGTATCTGTCCGGCATTGTTTTGCTCCTGTCCCTCGCTTAATCTCTTAAATTTATTTGGCTACTAATTATACTAACTAATATCTACTAACCTAAGTTAAATGGTATTCTTCATTTTGTAAATGATGGTATTAGCCCAGATATTAAGTGATTTAATCGAAGGATATAAGGTGGCACCCCTTCCTGATCGTTTATTGATCTTCTCTGATATTCCCTTGAAAGTTTATACTATGGATTATCTTAAACAAGTGCTGCGGAACCAATACTCGGGGATTTCAGGATCCGGTAAGGCGTCGACGTCGCCGAGAACGTCAACGCCAGCGTCAATTAGTTGCCATTGGTATGTATTGATGATATTGACGGGTTGATACATCTATATATATATATATTACTATATATATATATTGAGTAACTGATATGCTGTGGCAAAGTGTGTGTGTGGGCGGGTTTGATGATCAAGTGCTTCCATAAATCCATAAAGCCTGGAGTGTTTGTTTTGTGGACTTTGGTGATAAGGGCCATTCCACCGCCTTGCAGATATTGCAAATCAGTTTTTGGGGGGTCAGTCTGCTGGAGAGCTCGTTGCACAATGGATGCCAGTCCCCTGGTTACTTTCTTCATACTACTGCTAATCGGCTTCGTGGCCTATGCGGCCCTACAGGTGATCCTCAGCTCTAAGCGATCCACTTGATTTTATTTTTTTGGTAACCAATCCATTCTTTTGTTCTCCCAAAAGTTCGCTGTTATTTGGATCTTGAAATGTTGCTGTTCGAGACGTCGAAACTCCCGTTTTGAGATGTGTAAGTCGCATTTGCTTTTTGTTTATATCTCAATTGAGTCGTATATATATATATATATATATTGTATATGTGATGATATATGGAGCAACGTTTATGGGGTATTGCCAACCAAACATGGCGGACAATCTAATCTCGGGCGACTAATCAATGGCGTGCCAAACGGCAAACTATGGCCAATACTAGGGCCTACGAAGCGCAGTTGGTGGCTGTAGTTTGGCTTTGATTACTGTCCCGCGTCGTTCTAAACTTCCATAATGCACGGATCGGAGCCCACAATGGAGTGGGACAGCGACTTTGTTGTCCATGTGGCCATCTATATGGCCCTGGTCTTTCTGTTTTTCTGCCTAATACCCCTTGCCTGCTACTACATCCGCGTGGAGAGCCAAACATTGGCCAAGATTTGCCATCCGCGATGTCGACGTCAGCAGAGACAGAGGATTCGGCAGCACCATCGACATCAACGGCGATACGACATTGGAATTGGTAACGTGTGCCAAAAACGAAAAGTGGTCAGGATTGGTCTCTATCTAATCGGTTAGGTTGGGGGCGATTATTTTGGCCGCAGTCTTTGAGAATAGCAGAATGGGTCTGACAGCTAATTTAATCGTGGCGCTGGGCTTTGTGTTTGCCATATTCGTCATCGCTCAGCTGATATACGTATGTTATTAGTATCCCTAAAAGCTGAGCTAAGATGTGAGCTGATCTGATCAGATCCGATCGGGCAGACCTTCAGCCGGAAACAATGGCCAAAATAATTGATTTATCTATTCGTTTTGATAGCTGGCAAAGCGCATGCACGACTCAATAGCTGGAAATCGTCGCCAGAGACAAGCTGGTACTGGTTTAGTGTGGATATGTGGGACACATTCCGTGAAAAATATCACCAAAATTAATCACTTCAAGTGGCTTATCAGCGAGAAGTTTCGAGTGTCTTAGCTATATTTTGACTCTATTAACATTTGACTTTAAAAACAAATGTCATAAAGTGATAAATAGATAATTGTGTTATTTATACTGTTTATATCACAGCAGAAAGCGAATTGAGAGTGTATCCTAATTATAGATGTTTCATTTTGATTAAATTTGTTTTAAAGTTAAGATTAAATTGAAAGGACAGCTTTCCTTCCAGTATTAAAAATTTTTTCATGAATCAGCAAAATGTTTTAAATATGGTTTTATGAATTCGGAAATTAATACTACAATTTCAAATTTTGTTAAAAATTTTAAGAAATATATGTCCTTCAAACGACCTTTCAGTAATATTTTCCTTTTTTCGAGTCGCTTCTTAAATAAGTTTTTAAAAATTCAATATCACTTTATTAAGTAGATTACCTTAAAAACTCTTTGGTTTAGTAACATAAATTGACTCACTTATTTTTCTTCGATTTCTTGCAGACCGCCAGGGAAATGTGTTCAACGTACCGGAGGAGTCTTCTGGCAACCGCTATGGCGACATATTCTTCATTGAACCCGGCAGCGTGGAAGCCAACCGTATTCGCGATCAACTTGAAAAAGATGAAAAGGATCTGCCCAGCTACGACGAGGTGATGCGCATGTGCAACCTTACCACGCCCACAGCAGCGGCAGCGGGGACACCAAGTCCACAATCGCCCCTAGGTGAATCAGGTCCCATTGGGATTGCGGCACTGCCTGCGCCACCATACTCGGAAACAGATCCAAATGCATCTGTTGGAGGAGCCATTGTCATTGCAATGGAACCGATGGAACCATCTACCTCTCGAGCCGCACAGATCCCACTCAGCTCCGGTTCCGGTCCACCTGCTTTATCGCCAACTTCGACAGTGTGATCTGCCGAAGGCATGGAGATCTGGAACTGAAGCATTCACCGTGCCACTCTGGGCCACACAGATGCCACTTTGTGTGCGCTTTCAGTAGAGAAATGAACTTGTGTGATCTTATTGAGTACATAACTAGTTAAGTGCTAGAAATTAAGTGTCACCTATTGTAAATACATATTTTTAGGATCTAGGATGAAAATTAAAATGAGTGATTTAATAGAAAATAACTTGTATTTTCACTTGTGTTAAAGTATTAAAAAATATAATTTATAATTACAAGCCATGTAAATTCTCTTATTCACAAAAATTAAAGTATTGAATTATAAATTTACGCAAAACATAAATAGCTTTTAAAATATGGAAGTTTGATATCATTATAGAAAATCTTTGTACGTGAGAAAGTAAAATTTATTAACTAGAACATTAATTAAAAATAGAATTTGTAATCAAAGTGATATTGGCTATGGCTAAATGGCTATTTCACACATTTGCAATGCAAAGGTGTATGATGAAAGTGAGCATTCGTTAGTAATCAATGGCGGTTGAGCTAATCGGTGTTATTTCATTTATGATTCAGTTTTTTATGAACTTTTCAACTGCTGTTGGATTCTATATATATACGTTTTCGGCTTTTAAGCTTACGGTAGACAAGTTTTTATTATCGTTATTAGTTATCAATATGTGTATATGTTTTCTTATATTCATCTTGTATTGAGAAGTCAACAATTATAGGCTAAGCGCAGTGTGAATACCGAGAAAATTAATAAATTATAGGTGGACTTCAGCAAAAAGTTGTAGACTATCACATAGATAAACTGTATTCGTGGGAGCTAAAGCTATTTACAGAGAATACACTTGTAAGATTATAATAAATAGTTGTACGTAAGATCGCAACAAAGTAATATCCAACGGAAAATGCACATATGAGAAACATAAAACATCGCAGAGTGGGAATTGTGCAGGACTTCTCCCAATAGATTTAAGAACGATTCGAAACGAACTCGTGAACAGCCAAGTATTAGATTGCATTGCAATGAGCAACATTCAAAGTTTTGTAGAGGCGCGATTTTCACAAAAAACAAGCCTTCAAGATCATCATGTGCGTTTAATCGCTGTTGCTTATCAGCGACTCCTGCTGTTCGTCATCGTTGACCCTACGTGAATAAAGATCCTGTTCAAAAGTAGTTCATTTAGGCAGAATACAGTACTCACCTAACAATGCTTGGCTTATGGCACCGGCAGACTTTTCTATATACAATTCTAAACAGCTTCATTAGTGGATCGGAATCATCGTTTCGCATCAATAGCGAAACGAATACCAATGCCACAAATATAGGTATCGAGCCCATGTAGAACATCGGCGAATACGGCTTGTTCTTGAGCAGGACATCGAACATGATGGCTAATGGAATCTGTAGCGACATGGCCAGTGTACCAATTAAGGAAGAGGTCAAAAAGCAGCCCCACAGCCAAAGGGCTTCTGCCAGCACCGTGCCAATTAATCCGTTCAGAAACAGTAGGGCAAACTGCCCTTGACTGGGCAGCTCGAAGGTTTCGATTTTGGTGAAGTGCAGAATAAAGAAAATTGGCCACAGTAGCAAGAGATTCCACAGACCGACAAAGCCTGAAAGAGAGTCAAAGATTACAAATAATATATCACACAAATTTCACTTGGCTTACCAAAGAACAGCGGTATATCGACTTTTTCCTCCGTATCACTTTTTCGCTTTACAAAAACCAAATAGGCTGCATAGAAAAAAGCACTGAAAAGGGCCAAAAGGACACCTCTCGTCATCTTGGTATCGTGCAGATCGTTCATGGTAATGGCTACCACCCCGCCAATGTTCATGGCCACCGCAATCACCTTGGTGATGGTCAGCTTGTCACCTGCTGCCGAGGGAAATACGGCTGCTAGACAAATAATGAAGAACGACGACGTCGAGCTGACCAGCGTTATCATGGCCGCCTCATCCATTTCGAGGGCTAATTGGAAGAAGTAATTGGCCACGAACCAGAGAAGGCAAAACAGCAATGCAGTCTTGGCCGTCTTATGGTGGGTCTTCTGCCTCCTAATCCTCAAACTGGCAGCATACGATAGCCGGGCCATCAAAGCATCGGTGGCTTCGTGAGCAGACATCTCTCTGACCTCGGCCATTTTGCTGAAGCGAACACTCCTCACACTGGAATCATCGCTTTCGGTCCCGGACAGGGAGTTTGAGGTACCGTTAGCTTGTCTACCCAAATGAGGTGATCTGATGGGGACATAGGTGGGGTCTCCCTAGAGGAAGTATGGGTAAAATTTAGAGAATTTCCTGGAATCAATTCAGAAAGACTCTTGCTTACCAAAACAGCTTGATTGGAGTAATAATTCTCATCGTCTGCATTCTGTTCCATCATCTTGGGAAAGTATAATCATTAATTTGGTTTTATAGTTTAAATACTTAATCTCTTACAGCATAGTTTCCATTTTGACGATCACAGGACTCTTTCCATGGCGCCAGGATGCCAATGACTAGCAGGTAAATGCTAAACATAGAGGTTTTGAAGTATGTGCAAAAGAAGGGCTTGTCAAAGTTGGCCTCATTGTACAGAAACTAAGAGATAAATTGTAAGAAGATTGTTGATATATAAAATACAAAGACCTCACCTTTGTCAACTCGCTGGAGGAGACCCAAACCACATCCACAAGAATCAGAATTGATATACCCAACAGCAGTTTTTGTGTGCGTCCTAGCATGATTTGTTTTGCTTGTTTTTCGAAGATTTTCCAAAGGAATTAAGATTATTCTCCTCTGGCTGCTTGAGAGGGTCTTTCTCCTTCGGATATCTGTGAGCAAATAACTATTTACGCTTGTGCCGCCAGCGTTTTAGTTTCATTTTTGCGAAGTTTTTGGCTTCAGTTACTCGCAATTGATAAAATATCTGTTTGTAGTAAGATTTATTGCTGGTATCCAGATAGTTACACCTTCGACTTCAACATTGCTGCTGAAATCAGAAAATATATAAATTAAAAAAGGGGGTGGGTTGGAGGTGGTGGTCAGTAACTGCATTTATTGATTTTGTGTTGGGTTCGGCATTGTTAAAGGCGCAAATTACTATTTAACACGTTCAATTTTAACGTTTTTTTTTGTAGGGAAGCAACCAACTGATTAACAAAGCCACCGTTCAATTAGCGTCTGGTTCTCCAGATATCTCTATCCAATTACGGATTAACGGCGACCGATGTGATTGATCAGTTGAGTATAAACAAATTAGCGAGATCCGCGGGGTACTGACTGATAAGATAGCTGGGGAAACCAATTGTTTGGTTGGTAAATAGGAACACCGAATTATTTGAGGGGGACGGTGCGGACGGCAGGTTGTTGATAACAGTCCAAAAACAAAATCAATAAAAGCCAGTAGTGATATGAAAAATGGAAAAAAGCAACAAGTCTGCTAGCCACCACTTAATTGCGTTATTATAAACAGTTCTACGGTTACGCTTGGCTAATTTATGCGGTTTTTACCATTTCTTTCTCCTTTTGAAGTCAGAACTTTTTTCTTTACCGAATTGTTGCTGCCAATTTTCCCTGTTTTCGACGCTGAGGGTAAGCCCTACCCTGCTTTGATTTAAATTAGACTAGCCCTAATTCAAGCGAGTTTCCTCGGGTCTTTACTTTCGGGAATTATTTTCTTTATAATACTGATATTCTGATTAGAATTTTTGATCCGCACAGCTGGATAGAGCTGTATAGTGTTACCGGATAGTGAAACGGAAAATAAAAGTAATCGCATTACTTTAAAATCACTGCCTAGTTTGACAATCGATAACGATAACTATCAAATGGTCACATTGTTTTTTTTTTGAATTAACTATCGCTTGATAATATTTTCGTGTCAAAAAAACGTCAGCGATACTTTAACGGTCTTTCGAATTCAACCAATTTCGACCTTTTGACTTGAATTTGAAGTGTATGTTTAAGATGAATGTTTTTAATATTTTTAGCAATATTAACCCTTTTTCCAAATAAAATCCACTATTTGTTGATTCAAGGAAGAATATTTATTCCACGCTCTGTGCAATACACTTATATAAATACATATATATTGAATACAAAATATCTTTGCTCCTCTCTCTGAGTGTGTGTGTAAAACATGTTGCAAAATTTGTCGGGTTAGCACAAAGATTCAATAATATATTAATTATGTCGTTAAATACATAAACAAAGATTAAATGCGTTCGATTTCAGTTTTGAAGTATTCGATCGTTCAAGATTGCGTTATTTTGTTTCATTTTTGTTTTATATTTTTGTTTTTGTTTTTTTTTATTTTGCAGAGTACATAATTGTGTGTTCTGATTTGGTTTTCGATTGGGTACTTTTTTTAGCCAGCATGCACAGACTGAAATGAAGAGAAAGGAAACATAAAGTGAATCGAAATCAGGGAATCAAGATCGCAAAACAAGGCTCAAAATCAATTAAAGGAAGCAAACTAAATCCGCGTTCGCGTCCTCTTGTCTACCAAGTCTTTTGATTGCCATTTGTTTTGGTTTCGTTTGGTTTCGTCGTCTAAACTTCATCTCGACGAGGTTCGAAGTTAGATAAATTCAGAATTGGAACGTACCCGAGCAATGTCCACGCCGGTTATGTTCTTGACCAGCTCTGGCACTTTGTTGACAATAGACAGGACCTCGCCGGTTAGCTTGGCGGCTCCTATATCGCCAGTTCCGCTGGACACCATCGTAATCTTCTTGGCCTGCGACAGTGGGGCAGCGACTTCGGCGGCAACCTGGGTTAAAAGAGAACATTAAATTTCATAATTGACATTAAAATTTGTTTAAATTGCTTAATAAAGAAAAACTCACCTTTGGCAGCGTATCTAACAGCATCTCCACCATGGCAGCCTCCCGGTACTCGCGATAGGCCTCTGCCTTCTGGGCCATCTGCTCGGCCTCTGCCTTCGCCTTGGCCGCAATGGCAAAAGCCTCGGCTTCGCCCCTAATCTTGATCTGTAAAAGAACGAATAGATACAGTTAATCCTAAATTAAATTTAAATATTTAAATGGTATCTAACCGATTCAGCCTCTGCTTCGGCTTCCATGACCACGCGTTGCTTGTTGGCTTCGGCCAGCTTCTCCATACGGAACTTCTCCGCCTCAGCTGGGCGACGAACGGTGGCCTCCAGCTCCCGTTCACGACGCATGATCTCCTGTTCTTGAACTGCGATCTCCTGGGTACGCTCGATCACCTTGACCTGCATCTGCTCCTCCTTGATGCGTTGCTTGGTCTTGGCCGCCTGCAGCTCGTAAGCCATCTCAGCCTCGGCCTTTTTGGTCTGCACTTCCACGTCGTAGGCGGCCTTCTTAAGCTCGAAGTCACGCTGTGCCTTGGCAATATCGGTGTCATTGAGGAAACGGGCAGCCATACGCTGTTCCTCAGCAATGGCCTCCTTAATGTGGGCCTCGGCGCGGGCCTCAGCCTCGCCGATCCGAGCATCTCGCTTCACCTCCGCCGTACGAGCCATACCCAACGACCTAAGATAGCCCTGTAAAAGGAAATTGAGAGCGGGTAGTCAGTATCCCGTTTATCTCATAAGAAGCAGGAAATGGGCCACGGATCCCATCGATTCCACACACAGGCGGTTGAGCGGACATACGCACCTTTGAGTCACCCTAAGGTGGATCCATGTGGACATGCAAGAAATATATATATATACATATATACAAGAGGTTACTTGGGAAGAACGGGCTTAAAGCCAGTACACAGTGATGGGAAATCGCCTTTCGATTTTTTTTAAGAAGTAAAATATAGTAAGGCGCGATCACGAACTCTTTTAAAGCAAGTAAATCTTTAAAAAATATAGTTTCTAGCTCACTTCACGAATAATCACATTGCCAATTCCCATCACTGCTGATGATTTGGTTAGTTGAGCAGGAATTATGACCATTACTAATCGGTTAGACCAACGCACCTCCTCATCGCGCAAATCCTTGATGGTGTAGGAGACGACAGTTATTCCCATGTTGGCCAAATCGCTAGAAGCCACCTCGAACACTTGCTTGCTGAACTTCTTGCGGTCCTTGTAAATCTCCTCCACGGTCATTGATCCCATAATGGCCCGCTGATGTCCTTCGAGGGTGACCAAAGCAATATGGTTAATCTCTGCCTCCGATTTGCCCAAAAATTGTTCACAAGCGGTAAGCAGCATGTCTTCGTTTTGACCCTGAACTTTAACTTGTGCAATTCCTGTCACGGAGATGGGGACTCCCTGGCTGGTGTACACGCAAGGACTCTCCACCTGGAGAGTCATCGTGTTCAGCGAAATTCTGTAAGAGATCAGACACACTTAATTCGCAGAAAACTTGTAATAAAATATGTTTAGGGATTCAAACATTAAACGAAAAAATGGAACACTTTTGTTGTTGAATCCCTGATCAAAACTAATAAATACCAACCGTTGAACTTGCTGGATGGTGGGCCATACAAAGGCCCTGCCACCCGGCACCAAAAGCGGCTTCATGTAGCAACATCCTGCAGCGAAAATAGAAAAAACACTTTGTTTACAAAACATTCGGATTACAGCATCGTTACGGCGTTTGAAATGCGCGCGCATTGTGCTTCTGTGAGACCTGCTCTGTTATACTTCTGTTATGTACACAAAAATCGATAATGACGTCAGACGGGGTGGGGTGAATATGTGTATGTGTCTGTATGGGCTATCATTTTATTTTTATTCACTGAATTTCTTTAATTAATCGGTAAGTGGTTCGTGTTTTTTGCATATTAAAATGGTGTGGCCTTACCAGAAACAACTAAGGCCTCATTAGGGCCACAGGTCACAAATCCCCAGGTCATATTGGAAACCCTATTTTTTGGGATTTTTCCTTATAACCGGTGACGAACAATGACAGATTCTTATTTTATTTGCTGATTTCAACACAGCTAAATGTTAATCTGGAATATCAGCTCTTTATTGGCGATCCACAGGTCGGCTGATACGGTTGTTTATCGTTCTAAATATATAGAAAAACTCCCGAGGGACTCGGATGTCAAAAGGCAAAAACGCGACCGGTTCGGTGAACAATTCGAGGCACAATAAAAATATCTCTCAATACTTGGACTACTCATTCTCAATTTGACGTGTGCGCAGAGCAACTTTAACCCTTATTTCGTACTAGTGGTTGAGCTAGAGCCATCTATACGAAATCATGGACGTACCAGATGATGATGATGATCTGGTAAGTATCCTCTTTATTGGTCTACACAACTAGGTTACAGGTGAATTTGCGAATCTTAATTATTTAATGTTTAAAACATCCGTTTTCACTTCAATCGGAAAAAGCGGATTTCTTTGGAATTCAAAATTAATTTGATTAGAAAAACTCTGAAACATTACATATACGTTTACCATTCATTTTTGAAACCAGAAATCTTGGCTAGTTTTTAAAATTGCATGCAAGAACTGAGATTTAAAAGAATTTTATCGGATTATAAATTATTTGTGGCACTCTCATACAAACAGTAAATATCGCCTACATATCAACAAAAACATTTTTAAACAAAATCAAAAGATTGAACAAAAACAACCAGTGTGTTACAATATTAACAATTAATTTGGCAGCTAAAATGTCACATTGTTTAGGATTGTCATTAATGAAATGGTGAAAAAAACAAACGAATAAATATAAATGTCCGTTTATACTCGTGTATCATCGACATCTAGTGCATAAATATAAATTAAAGATCTGCTGACACTCCACACATTCATAGCTGGACCAGGTTAGTCTTTCGGCTTAATTCTAATCAAAGTACGTGGAAAGAGTCGCCCGGATAGAGGCTAGGGGTTATCTCAGTGATTGCTGTCCGTAAAGTAGGGGTGTTGCATGGCCGCCTCGGCGCTAATCCGCTGATTTGGCCGACAGATGAGCAGTTTTTGCAATAGATCCCGTCCCTTAGAGTTCAGCCTAGGCACCAATTGACTCCACGAGGTAATTGCCGGAAAGGCTGTCATAAAATAATAGTTATAATGCCAATGACAAAACAATAAAGTATCTTGCAAATCCTTACATGGAAGCGCCACATAGTCGGATAGGTGCGAAACTCCCGGCCATGAATCCTCGTTAGGGGTGCCCAGCACTCGGAAGATCTTCATTAGCTGGTCAAGTACATCAGAACCGGGAAACAGCGGTCGTCCTGCGTCCGCCAGTTCTGCGAGAATGCATCCGGCCGACCACATGTCTATGCTGGTAGTATAAAGCTTGGCTCCAAATAGGACATCAGGTGGTCGGTACCACAAGGTCACCACCTCTGCAGAGTAGCATTTAACGGGAATTCCAAAGGCTCGAGCCAGACCAAAGTCGGCAAGCTTTAGCTCTCCATTTTTGTTGATTAAAAGGTTCTGCGGCTTTAAATCACGATGTAGAACGTTATGGCTAGAAAGCGGAACAATGTCATAATTTAGAAGTTGGAATCAATAAGAAAACAATAAAATACCGATTTTATATAAACCAGTAATCTGTACCTGTGGCAGAAGGCCAGTCCGCGCAACAACTGGAGCATAAAGCTCCGGCAGACGGCCATGTCGATTTCCCCGTTGAGACTATCAAAGTACTTCTTGAGGTCCTGGTCGCAGTGCTCGAATACCAGGGTGAGTTTTTTGTCCGAGTGCAGTACGTCTATGAGGCGCACAATGTTCTTGTGCTTTAGCTCCTGCGGGTGTAAAAATAGATTTTCGGACTGGAAGCGGGCCATCAATTCTTAAACATACCTTTAGGAGGCATATTTCCCGGAGGGCTGAGCTAGGTACACCTTCATCGTCCTCGTCCAGTCTCACCCGCTTCAGGGCCACTATCTCCATGGTGTCGCGATTGCGTCCCTTGAACACCGTGCCGTAGGTGCCCTCACCGATCTTTTCCATCTTATCGTACTTTTGCATCCTGGTTATTAGTATTTTCACTAAATAGTGATGAAAAACTCCGAAGATTATTATATTTTCAGTTTGTTTTTGCTGCCAGCGATTCGTGCGCTTAACAGCACTCTTCTACTCGCTAAAGGCACGCTGTTATTTGGTAACAGTGCAGCTGACTGCCGATTTGAACTAAAAATACCTAAGCTGGAGTACATTTTCAAAGAAAATTAGTATATTTGGGTATTTTTTGTTTGAAAAAAAGGTTTTTTAATTAATTAAAGTTTGAAATCATTTGCTAATTGTTTGTTTTTTTACTTACAGAATGCGAACTCTGCTTTTTTAGGCCTGCCAGACGATATCCTCATTTGCATTTTGGGTTTCCTTGATATTCCCACTCAATTATTGCTGACTAAATTGCATCCTCGACTCCTAGAAATAATGCCAAATGTCTGGCGTTCTGAAAACAAACATGCAACTTTGAACTTATTTGAAAAGAGTATAAGCAACCGGGATCTCAATTTCCTCCTGGAAAGCACTCAAAAAACACTGAAGTGCTTACGACTGAAGATGGAGGACAGAAGGACCTGGGATATTCTTACCAATTACGTTTATCCAAGTGTAAACGATTTTCGCTTTTCAACATACTCGTTTATGTTGAACAATTCGGATGTACCAAAAATGATACAAAGTTTTCCCAATCTAAGAACATTAAGTCCTTTTGGGAATTTTACTGGCGAGAACTTTGAAAATTTCCAGTTTTTAGAAAACCTTACAGTTACCTACTGCAAGCTATTACAAATAGATCATTTGGGTAATATTCTGAAAACCAGAAAGATAAAAAGTCTTCAATTGAATGTATTTGATTTTGATCGATTTGTTCCTGCTATTAATTTGCCTTTGGACGGTATTAAAAACTTAGAGACCATACACTGCTTTTGCGGGGAATTTAATAATTTTTTTTTAATGAATTGCAGGCCATTTTTTGACTTAAAGCACATATTTATATGCGATGAAGTTAGCCCCTCGTTCCTCGGTAAGCTTTTGAGCTTATCATCTTACCGCAAAATCAATATGCTCGAGATATACAAAGACTATAAAGGGGTTAACTTATTTAGAGGAATAGAACCTGTCGAAGTTACGATCCTGAAGTGGGACAATGAATTGTTCCTCAAATATTATGGATGCTTTGATAACATCAAGGAAATATATTTGAAAAATTGTTTAGTATATAGTAATAGAAATGACTGCGAAATGTTTTTAAATTGCCCGAAGACATGTGAGATCCTGGGCCTTGATAAATGCCACTTTGATGTTGAGGAATTTACATTCGCAGCTCAGGAGATTGGCAGTGACCGTCTAAAAACGCTTAATATACATTTAAACGAAAACACATGCTTTAATAATTTGGATCCAAATACGAATGTAAGCGTATTAACTGTTTATTTTCCAATAATAATATTTTTCGTTATAGGAGGAACTTCCTGTAATCTGGAATGTACTAGGAGAACATGAGTTTTTCAAACTTCACATGAATCATCCAAATATCACTTTCAATTCCTATCCCGTTTCAGTTCATTTTGAATAAAACTTACACTAACATATAAGACAGCAGTTTCTATTTAACTAAATTTCAATTTAACGAGATTTCTGACAAATTAAATCAGTTCCGCCTTTAAATAGGTATAAAAGGTTTCTTCTTCTGATGTGAAATCTTAAAGTGTTGAATTTTGTCAATATGCATCTTGAAACGTGGCTGTGCTTGGGAAGACTTTTCTTTGTCCAAGGATCATCTTTAGATCTTGACTTTAATGCAACACTATCATTGCCCACATCCACAAGTGGTCTACTTTATCCTCAGGATTCTGAGACACGAGAGGTGCGATCGTTGGATGGAATCTGGCAAATGTTGAAGAGTTCTTCTAATCGGCCCATGGAAGGCTATCAGGAGAAATGGTTCGAGAAAGGCCTAAGCCAACTGGGTCGCCGTGTAATACCCATGGCAGTGCCTGCATCTTTTAATGACATCACCGTGAGCCGGTCGCTGCGTGACCATGTAGGCCCCGTTTGGTACGAAAGAAGCTTCTTTGTGCCAGCCTCCTGGAATCGAATGTTTCGCACCTGGCTTCGATTTGGTAGTATCAATTACCAAGCCGAAGTATGGATCAATGGGCAACCAGTCATGGCTCATAGCTTTGGGGGATTACCCTTTGAGGCGGAGGTGGGAAGTCTAGTAAACTTCGGTGCCGAAAACCGATTGACTGTGATGTGCGACAATAGGCTGTATAACTTTACGATTCCCCAAGGAGAAGACAGTGATTACAGTTTTGACTTTTTCAACTATGCTGGGATCCACAGGAGCGTCCTATTGTACACCACACCCCTCGTTTTTATTAGTGACGTCTCCATTTCCACCGAATATACACCGATGAAAGTGGGTAAAGTTAATTACCGTTTGTGGATGAATGGTAAATCCATAAGGACACGGCCGAGAAAGTACTATTTTAAGGTCCAACTTGAGGACCGTGAAGGTGAAGTGGTAGCACAAAATACAAGCAGACATCACTTCGAGGGCATATTACATGTCCCCAAAGTACGGCCTTGGTGGCCCTACCTTATGAATTCTCAACCAGGCTATCTTTATAAACTTAAAATATCTCTCTTCGAGGGCGATTCAGCGACCGAACAGTCCCCAAATGATGACCTTCTGGATGTGTACCGGATATCAGTGGGAGTACGCAGCCTGGTATGGGACAACAATAGCCTTCTCCTTAATGGGAAACCATTATATCTACGAGGATTTGGTCGCCACGAGGATTCGGAGGTAAAAATCAAAATTAGTTATTGATTAAAAATGATTTGAGAAATTAATAATTTCTTAACTCTATTTTAGATTCGCGGCAGGGGTCACGATAATCCGTTGATGCTTCGTGACTTTAATCTGCTACGGTGGATTGGAGCGAATGCCTATCGCACCTCGCACTATCCGTACTCCGAAGAGTCCATGCAGTTTGCCGATGAGCAGGGCATTATGATAATAGACGAGTGTTCGGCAGTGGACCTAGGCAGATTTCATCCCCGCCTGCTATACAACCACATGTCAGTGATGGAACAACTGATACACAGGGACAGAAACCATCCAAGTGTCATCGCCTGGTCACTGGCGAATGAACCCAGCTGTTCTTCAAATAACATGTCCGAACAATACTTCAAGTGGGTTCAGGATAAATATTCTAGTATGCAGTCCCAAAATTTCTTTCTATAGATCTTTGGTGAATTACACCCGGGCAATGGCCCATGGTCGACCCTTAACAGTTGCCTTAGCAACGCCAATCGATGAGATTGATAAATGCATACTCGTAGAATTGCTCGATATTTTGGGCTTTAATCGCTATTATGGTTGGTACTCACATTCAGCCCGTCTGGACAGGATAAAAGATTCCGTTGTTGGAGAGGCTCAAATATGGCGTAATAAGACCAATAAACTGGTGATAATGATGGAGTACGGAGCAGACTCAATAGAAATTTACCGATCGGTAAGGAGTAAAATCATGAAAATGTTACAAATCCAACTTTTATGGTTTTCCCCTAAAAGCTACCATCGCTGATGGGCTCACCCGACTTCCAGCGGCAGTTGTACTCCAAGCACTTTCAGGCTTTCGATAAGTTGCGTAACAATCCTTGGTTCATTGGGGAGTTTGTTTGGAATTTTGCCGACTTCCAAACGGCTCAGTGTAAGTGAAGATAAGTAGTTGAGTTACAACTTAGTGTTTTACATTTTTGGCCCTAGCTTTTTCGAGAATTGGTGGGAATCGTAAGGGCATCTTTACCAGGAACAGGCAGCCAAAAGAAATGGCTTATTTGCTAAGGCGACGCTACTTTGGCTTGGCTCACAAACTAAACAAAGCCAAGATGCCAGCGGATCTCATTGAATATATAGTGGGAGGATAAGGGTAGGTTCTGGTTTCTTCAGATTGCTTTTAACTTTTGGTGACTTCTTCTTTCCAGCAGTCCTTTAAAGCAAGACGACAATGGAACTATAACAGATTTTGGGATGTTTTAGTTAAAAAATACATGGCAGCCTTTATTAAGACTCTCAAGCGGGTGATTTTGGGGTATTTTCAGGAACACATTTCGAATTCAGCTCGCTCTGCATCGGTCATAGGTTCAACAACTTTTAAACAAGCATTAGCGAACTCCAGGAAGAGAGGCTCCTGCATGGCTGCGATCATAGCGGTCTGGGCATTGATGGCCACATCGATCTGCTGGAGTAGTGAACGCAGGTGGGGATTGTGGAGTAAGTTACGTAGATCCTGGGAGTTTTCTAAATGGAAACCATTGAAAATACCATGTGTGATTTTAAATATGTGCAAAAGCCCACCTAATTTCTGAAGTTTCTCTGTGGGCACTGTATCATCTGTTGGAAATGGGACATGAAGTGTTGGTTCCTCCTGAAAAGCATTTTCAGGCTTTTTATCCTCCATATCTATTCTCACACATTTTGGCGAATCTTTGTGGGCCTTATAACAAGCCACAGAGCAGCTGAAATTTTAGTATTTTTAAATTCCACTTAGTTACTGCACATAAAGTTACTTACTAGGGTGCCGAACACTTGCTGCATTTGTATTTTCTTGTGTTTTCCTCGCAATTAATGCAGTTTTCCATCTTGTCAAAACAAAAGTGGCGTGCAAAACAAAAAACAGCTGTACACGTTTCACAGACTTCAGCTTTTGTCTACTGTTAAGAGTTCCACGCCGTGCTTCGTTTTGACGCCGTAATATTTTTGATAGTAGAGAATCAAAAAATTTATAGCAAAACGCAAGGAGAATATAAGTAATATACGTATAAAATCACGTGGTTGCATAGCAATTTTGAAATTAAACTGATCAGAATTTTTGTGATAATTGTGCTGTAAATGGAAATTCATAATAGAACTGTGACAGTTGGCTCCTCAGTTTTAAATTTAAGTAATATAGCTGTCAGCTTTGAGAATTAGCAGATGAATATTTTTACAGCCGTTACTTTTTATTTAAATTTGCAATTTGCTGTTAATGACTGCGAAAAATCGGGAATTTATCAAATTATTTTATAGAATTTTATATTACATTTATGTTTAATGTCTAATTTTCCATTATCAATCTCTAAGGTCTATGGGATGTATTACCATTTATCCAAAAATCAGAGAATCGTTTTAACTTTCCAAATAATTAGGAAAAATTTACGATTAGAGGTGTGTTTGGTCAGATTAAGGGAGACATAGAGCTGACCTGCCCTTTTCCGGTTACGGCTAGCTTTATTTGATTGTATGTATCCTGTATATCCGGTCTTGTTTGCTTTAGTCAGTCTCATTTATGGGCCATCCCGGGCACGTCATCTTCCGTGCGGCTCCTGAGCAAACAAACAGTGGCCGCTTATCATGGTAGTCCCTCCTCTCTTTTTTCACCAAGCCTCTAATGCCCCCTCTCAGGCCATGAAGGCAATGCGCAGTCTAAAGGCACCTGGCGAATTAACCAAGAATTCGACAAGCGAGAGGGGAGCAATCAAATGACGGTCGGCGTGTCCACAAATTGTAAACATATCCTGCACACGGAACGGAGTGGAACGGAATGGACCTTCCAGGGAAGTAGTCGTCCAGATCCGCTCCAGCTCCAAAGACAAGTACAGTTGGCCAGAAGTAAAAAAAAGAAAAAGAATGCCTATAATGGCTTATCGAAAATTTATATACCCTTAAAACAGGCAAGGTTCCAACTTGATTTTACAAAAATAAATATATATTTGGTCACACCATTTTCACCTTTAGAAAGTTTATCGTTAATTTATTATTATTATCGATTATTAAAAAAAAAAAGATCCGTTTTAGTCATGTTACAAATCTTCCAATTTCACGACTTGGAAACATAAATCTAAAACTAAACAAATAATTTACTTAGCTAGAGTCAACCGAATCAAGATCCTTTATAAACTCTGAGTAGTGTTATTTCCATAATAGCCCTCTGCCAGGGTATTGCAAACAGCGAAAAACTTTTGGTGGCAATAAATGACTTCAATGACTGACTGACTGACCGGAAGGGGGTGGTCTAGGTGCATGAGTCCTTCCTTTTTTCTTTGCTGTTTTTTTAGTATATTTTTTGGGGACTTGCAGCCGGGACTGGTTGTTGTTATTTTCAATAGTTTTTGCTTTGTTTTCTGCGCTACCAATTGGATTGCACAAAGAAAAAAGAGTATGGCAAAAGAAAGGAAAGGATGCCACCATATAAAGTATGGAGGGTGAGGGGAATCGGACCGGGTAACATGAAGTGGCGCCTCTGCCGCTTCCGCTGTTCGTGCGGCACAAGCGCGATAATTGCCAGCGTTATCCGCTCGGCCTGCCAGTCAAATAGGCGCAGCAGCAGCAGCAGCAGTAGAGGCGCTGTTCGGGATGGGTGCTGGGAAGGGCAAGAGATTCCAGGAGGGGGTAGGAAGACCCTTCGTGTGACTCGCCTACTTTTGATTTACAACATTCGTGCAACATCAGCAGCAGTGTATCGCCAAAAGGAAAAGGGGCGACCAATGCAAACAGCAAGAAGAAAAGCGAGACACACGCCACCAAATGGGCCTCAGGTTTTCTTTTTCTTTTTTCCACGGTGCAGCGGCAGGAACGGGGGCTGAAGGCAGGTGCTTTTCCGAGGGCAGGTGTCGTTCGTTAGGAGTTTTCAGCGTTTTTCATTCCCAGTTACCAGCTTTTCCCAGTTACCAACTACGAACTACCAACAACCAGTTACCAGCTGCCCGCCAGCGAAAAAGCCAAAAGCGATATTAATAGATAGCGGCACTTTTCGCTTCGTTTTTATCGCCCGAAAAGCCAAACGAGGAAAATTCGGAAAAATGTTAAGGGAAAAGGAGGAAGATAGTCCTGCAATTGGCCAGATTGACAGATCATGCAATCATAGTGGCAGAGCGTTTATAGTGCATATAATGAATATTAAATTACATGCAACACATCAGCCTTCGGCAGGCGAACTTGCCTACCACGAATATTTCGTATGTTGTTGTTTTATAAATTAGTAAGTTTTTTATAGTTGTAGGGGAAATAAAAATGCAAAATAAATGAATAAAATCATTTAAAACTGTTAAAAAAATGTATAAATTAGCATCGTTTGTTTATGATCTCAATTAAGTTTTAAATAGAAATAGAAAATATAGTTGTTATTATCAATAACTTAGGCCTCCGAAAATATGACTTTTTATTGCTTCCCTTTCAGCTGGTCTCTACTGTACTCCTTCGTGGTAGGTGCAAGCCTATTGAACACCGACAGGCATGCAAATGCGACATCTGTCAGCCAATTCGATTGGAATTCCCCGGAAGGTATTGGATAGTGGGCTAGTGGGTCATCAAAACGATTTGAAAAATAATTCGAAACTCAGTTCGGAAGCCGGGAAACATTAACAATCAGCAGGAGACAGTGGGTTGGGAGAAGGGGATGGGCCACAGAGGCACTATATGAATCCAATGGCTTGTAATTTATAACGCAATCACGTGCCACATTCGACGCCGTCGAGCAAAGGCGCCAAAAATATGAATATATATATGAACCGAGAGCGACTAAATAATTTGGAAATGATTTACAATATGGCCGGGACGAGAATGGCTGGAGGCACATCGAGTCCGGAGGTTCATAAATCTAACTGCATGACGAAAAGATGCAGTCCACTAGAAACCAGTTCCAGCCGGAGTTCTTGGGGAGCGCCCTAGCGAAATGTGCTAAAATTACAGGGCTGCAGCCGGGAATGATGCATGACTGGCAGGCAGAAAAAGTCAGGAGAGCAGGGGATGAGTTTTTTTTTGTGTGCAGGTCATGGCGGGGGGAAAACCTTCGAAAAATTGTCATATAAAAATTTGCGACCCCGTGGCGCTAATTCGGTTATGTATTGTCAGTGGGCCTAATCTAGCGGGAAATGGCCTTTGGCGGCCGTGAAGCTGGCGGGGGGATTGGATTTTACACTGCTCGGCGATGCTGCTGAGGCGATAATTGCAATGGCAGTCATTTCAATTTGCCCGCTCCGCAGTTCGGGTTCCGCAGTCCGCAATCCACAATCCGCTCCCCGCGAGGACTCTTTGATGGATGACAGCGGCCTGCAGTCCATAGCTGTTGTCAAACATTTCGCGCCTTGGCCATTTGTCTTTCTGCCGCTGTGGCTCTTGTTCCTGCTACTGATCCTCCTGCTCCTTCTGACTGCTTCTCCTCTAGCTTTTGTTGCAGATAACGCTCATCGTTCTATGGGGTAGTTTGACTTTTTTGTAAGGTTTGAAGGGATAGAATGGGATGATTAAAAATTAGACTTAATTTACTAGATAAGCACTACCAATTGTTTGAAATTATTAGCTTCATTTTATTATTTTAGGTTTTATTTGAGGTAATAAAAATAATTGAAAAGCAGTAATAATAAATAGAAGTAAAATTACAAACTATTTGATGGGTTGTTAAGCGATTCAAAAAGCTAAAAATAAACTTTTATAGTCAAACTTTCAACTATTAAAGATGTTTCCTCCTTCGAAACCTATACTCGACCAAGACCTGTTAGGGCAACTAATCGCTGCTTTTGGTCATGGTTACTTGTTACATTTTCGTTGGCTTTTTATTTTGACTTTTGCTGCTTTCTTTTTGTTGCCTCGCTGCGCCTTAATTAAAAATCTGCTGGCCGCTTTAGAAGAAGTTGCACCGCGAAAATCCATAGGAGAGCGAGTCCGCCGTGGTATTTATGACTTGGCACGCAACGGACGGAGTATGATTTACGGTTTCTACGGCTACGGTTTATTGAGAGGCGCCACAGGCAGGCAACGGATGCAATAGAAGCGAAACAAAGCCAGCGCCAAGAATTGGCCGCAATGGCCCATCAATCATTAGTAGCTGTCCATACCTTGGCGTAATCCTTTTTTTTTTGTGAGGAGTGCGGAGTGCTCATCTCTGCGTCTAAGTCCCAGTAAATTCTGGATGGAAAAACGAAGGACGCAGGACACAGGGCGAAGGAAGAAGGAAGCAGGCTCGATTGGCTCGAATGGCTTTATGGGCGCATTATGCTTAATAAAGCAGTCAATGCCAGTGGGTCTTTATTTTTATTTCTATGCAACGACATCGAGTTTTATCTGCGAGTCATAATGGGAACTGTGGCGACGCTTTTACAGCCTCGGAGCGTTGCGTGATTTATGTGATTACTTCAATGCGGCGGCGTTGCGCCAAAAGTCGACAAAATATATAAAAGCGATTTCGAGATCCGGCAAGCGATTTTCAGTCAGCCAAAAAAGGGGAAGAGGTTGAATGGGTTTTGGTAATATAGTCTCTCATCCCTGAATTTGAACTGCAAACATTTTGTGGTTGAGGCGTGTCAGCGTCAGCGGCAAAATAAATATATGCATAAATATGCTGCAGTCTAATTTGCAATTAACACTTGCGCCGAAATGTAGGCAACACTCTTTTGGCAGCTCTGACCGCTAATGAGCCGGCCACGGCCGTCCAGTTGATATTCAATTTATTTTTAAAACGAAACGACTGCCGCGTTATTAACTCGCCTTCCTCTCTGTTTTTATTTCTTTTATTTTTTATTTTTTTATTTTGCATGCCGCAATGGCACAAAATAATTTTCCCAATTGGGCATAAGTCCTGCGGTTGAACAGAACACCCCTTCTACCTCCCCGACTGCCACGCCCTGGCTGGCTGTGCACAAATTGAAACACTCGCAGATCCTGTTCGTCTGCGTCGGCTTTTATGCAACCCGGAGTCCACGAGAGTCCACTCATTCATGAATGCATTTACATGGCCACCCAGCTTCGACTTGGCAACCGGCTAGGGTAAAAGCTTCGGCACTCGGAGAAAGGATAATAATTTAATGTATGAATTTACAAAAATATGTGTTTTTATCTTATAAA